TCAGGCAGGCACCCTAAAATGGAAATCTTTACTTAGGTCCCCAGAATTTGGCATTTCTGGAATTTGGGGCATTCTCACGGATTCAGCTTACTGGATCCTTAGCCAATTAGCTTAGTGCAATTTTTCACAGCTCTATACTGTAATGATTTTTAAATGACTATCATGGGCTTGCTAATTAATGGACAGCATCTGTGCCTAACTTTACACATGACAAATTTCAGGATCTCTTAGGCCTTTTTTTTTTTTTAATTAGGGACAATCACAAGTGTAAATATTGAACAATGCTGTCAAGGTAAAACGTTGTAGAATGTGATTCTTGCTTATTCCATAAGTATTTATTCAGCAAGCATCACACCATCAAAGGGGCGGATCCTTGGTATGTGAGAGCTGGAAGCAATTGTGGTTGCCCGGTCCCCTTCCCCACAGTTTTCATGCGGAAGTAACATCCAGAGCCTCCTCCGTGCGCCCCGCTTGCCTCTCCTTCGTAGGTGTGACCTTCTCATCACACACCTCTGACTCCCATCTGGCTCCTGACCTCGCCCAGCTGTGCATCTCTGTGGTGTCCACCTGGCCTGTAATGCTGGGACTCGGCCACTCCCACCTGCCTCAGACTTCACACGGCTGATGCTATCATAGCTTTGTATGTTCTTCCCTGCAGGGGCGGAAAAGTATTCCTTTCTTCATTTCTAGGTTCTTTGGCTGATCTAATCATTAAATGAACACAAGAGTTAATAGGAGAAAAACAAATTTCATTTTGTATTTACAAAAGCCCCTTAAAACCACGAGACTCAAAGAAGTGACCAAGGCAGGCAGCTTTTATGCTTTTGAGACAAGGAAACAAATTTGTGAAGAGCTGACAAAACAAAGAGACTGGGCTGGAGCTAGTACATCAGTGGAGACGTAACAAGGCTTGTTTATTCAGCCCTGTGGCCCTGGATTCCTGTCCTGGTGACAAGGACACCTCTATCTTCCTGCACAGGTGGGCAGTGTGTGCCCTGCTTTCAAGGGGGCACAAGGAAGGAGGATCAGAGTGTCTTTCTGGCACCAACTGTTTCTCAAGTACCCTTAATCCACAGTAATCAGTTTGCCCAAGTGGCACACTTTGGGTGGCATGTTCCAGTCCCCCTCATTCCCACATCATTAACTCAACTCCTAAGCGTTCTTCTTGACTCACCTCTATCTTTTACCCAAACATGGACCGCGGGCCAGTGGTGCTGACTCTGCCTGTACCTCCAGTCGCCCCATTCTGCCCATCGACCAGCCGCCTCCTAGTTCATGGCCTCACCTGTCCCATCTTTCATCTTTTCATAAGGAAAATCAGGCTGTCTCATCTCGTGCCTCTGCTCAGGGCGGTCCACGGCTTTCTGTTGCTCTTGGAGCAAATCCAGAGGGGTTCTGTTTCAGAGGCGAGGGCTCTGCATACTGGCCCGTGCCCCCTCCCACTCCAGCTATGCTCTCTTCCACCCACACCCGCTGTGACCCCAGACTGATGTCCCTCTGGGGTTCCCCACTCTACACCCCTCCTCTCTCCTGTCAACACCTCCAGGCCTGGCCCTCCCACTGTCTTTCTGTCTCCGCAGCTCCCATTTCAGCTGCTCAGCTGTCCCTCACTCTGCTCCTTCTCTCATACCCTCGCCCAGTCCAACAGCAGATCCCACTGGCTTTCAGCAGGCCGCCTCCCACCCCACCCCAGCCTGAGCCAGGTGCCCTCTCTCCAGGATCACTGCCCCGGCCTCGCCTTCTGCTTCTATTCACGCAGCAGCCCTGCTCCTCCCCTCGAAACCATCCAAAGCTCCCCTTGTCACTCAGCCAAAGGCGAAGCCCCCACTGTGGTCCTCTGGGCCCACACAAGCCACTCAGGGCCACGTCTCTGCTCGCTCCAGGCTGGGCCTGGAACCCCAGCCTCCTGTCCTTGGGATGTCTTCCCCCAGACGTTTGTGTGGCTTGTTTCCGTAGGCCTCCTCTTAGGCTGCCCTGGGGACCCCCTGCGACAGTCCTAGCTACAGTAGTCTGAGCAGAGCCCTCCACCAGCTCTCCTGTGCCCCTCCATTTTCTGTGCCTTCCTTGTTGGAATGTCCCCAGGAGGATATGTGATCCTGAGAGCAGGGATTCAGGGGTGTTCCCAGCCCTTCTTGTTTAGCTGCTGCCTATATTATAGCACACCAATTCCACTGTGTGTGTGCGCGCGCGGGGGAGCGGCGGGGGGGGGTGTCTTCACACTACAAAGCAATTCTCTGACACCAGCTGGGTGGCTTACAAGTCAACTCAATCCTGACTGTATCTACTTGGAGATAGTGTCAGAGCCCACAGGTTAAGGGCTCGGTTCCACAAGAGCGTCCCCACTTCAGATGTCAATCACAAGTTCAGGGTGTCACCTGTGCTTCTGACTGGTGGGGCTACAGATCAGAGGTTCCCATACCACCCACTCCTCGGGTTCGAGTAATGCGCTAGAGTAGCTCACAGAACTCAGAGAAATATTTCACTCACTAGATCTCCAGTGTATTATAAAGGATGAACTCAGGAACAGCCAGATGGAAGAAACGCACAGGGTCGAGCGGGCAGAACCCTCCTAGAATCTCCACATGTCCCCAAGCTGGCAGCTCCTGTCCTCTCCCAAGAGGGCAGGTGATGGGATTGAAAGTTCCAATCTCCTAATCCAATGGCCAGTTCCCTTGGCAACTAGACCCCATCCTTAGATGATTCCCAAAAGTCACCTCATTAACACCTCCTCTCATCACTTAGGAAATTCCAACAGTTTTAGGAGCTCTGTGCCAGAAACGGGGGCCAACACCAAATGTATATTTCTCATTATGAATCACAGCAGCACGTTGCCTCTTCCTGCTGGCATGTTACGTCCATAAGACTACCTTGTCATGGACAATTCTCCCGCAACCCCAGTGCTTAGAGCAGCGCCAGGCACACAGCAGATGATGCACAAGTAGCTGAACAAAGACAATTAAAGTGACTGCCCAGGGCCCAGCAGCCCACCCAGCTGCACCGTGGCTGGGGCAGTCAAGAGTCTAAGAGTTGAGCTGGCAGAAGGCATCCAAGCTCAAACCCCCTGTGGGGCAATCTAAGGAGGTTTGGTACCGCTCACTGCACACCAGCCAGACCCATGTGGGTCCCTCCAGGAGGCCAGCTGAGCAAGCTTTAGCAGAAATACTGGATTGGTGAAGAGCAGATGGGGGAAGATTCCAGATGTAAGGAGCAGTGTGACCTGCGGAATCTTGGAACCTTAGAGCGGAATGTAGATGGGCGTGAACAAGGCCTGTTCTGAGAAGGGTAAGGAGACCCCTCGCCCTGGAGCTGGGCCCGGAGTGGTGGGCAGAGTTACAATAGCCAGTTGGTGCCATTCCCCGGAGGGCCTCAAGGGACCTCTGACTGAGGAGTCAGCAACGGGGGACAGCTGTAAGCTCCAGGGTAAGGAAATGAAGGGTCAAGTCATCCTGGGGACACTCATAGGGACAGAGGCGACTAAGGAAGTGAAGGGAGCCCACAGAGCCCAAGCCTTGCTGGGCTGGATGATGGAGGAACACGTGGCTCCACAAGGTCTTAGTTCGGGAAACTGGGACACTGTGGTCCTTCACGTCTGTCCTCAATTTAAGACGCCACGGGTCTACTGAGAGGTCTGATTTATTTCCCTGGAAAGGCAGGTACTTCTCTGCCCAAACTTTCTGTGATCTGGGCCTCCACACATCAGTGCTGTACTCCTAGGACTAGTGGGGTGGAAATCTTGACCTGTGGCATGGACTTATACTGGATTCTGGTAAATTGTGGTCTGTGGCAAGGCTCCCTGTAGAGATGTGAGATCCTGGAAGGGCTGGGTGGAGTGTAAGCCAGTTGAGGACCATCTTAGAGAGGGTCATGGGGAAGGGGCAAGTGGTTTGACACAACTAGGGAAGTGACTTGTCAGCAGGCATCCCATGGAGGAACCCAGGGCCAGCAGAGGCTGCTGAGGTGGTCTCTTGGGAGATGACATAGGGTCCAAGGCAGGAAGAGAAATGAGGGTCTGGCCTGCGGGAGGAGGAGGCCTCCAGCTCCCTGAATCCAGACAGGCAGTACCCCAAAGTGCTCCTCTCACCCAAATCCACAGCCAAGAAATGCTTGCTCCTCATCTCTGTACTTCTAAATTGGGGAGTCAAGCCTCAGAGCTGTGGCACATCTGGGGGGTCTTACTGCAGAAATGGGGACTCCCCACCCCTTCTGCCTTTACCGTATTGTCCCGCAGCCCACCGGGCACACTCCCGTTCTTTGATTCCCACGAATACCGAGGAGTCCTTTGCCTCAAAAGACACTTGTACCACTTCGGAGACGCCCTCCAGGTCCTCCCCTCTCTCCCCTTTTCAACACCTATCCTCAATTCCCTGTCACTGTCTGGGTCACAGAGTCCTCCTGAGGACCACAGCACACAGGGAGAGACTGAGTTTACCCGACAGGAAAAGAGAAGAAATACCCGCAAACCAAAGCCTGCCTTTGCCACCGTGAAACACTCTTCCCTTCGATTAAAAAAAAATCCTCTTTAGGGAAGTCAGGAAAGGCGCCGCGATCAGGGAAAGGAGAAAGTCTAGTCCACCCAAGAAGGGAATGTGAAAGTAGGTGGAGGCTAAGCGGGGGAAGGGAGGGGGTGTCCCCAAAGCCGGCTGAGAAATCCGAGCACCGCTGTGCCGCCGCTCAGTGGATTCTCGTTCTGGCTGATTCCAGGAGGAGGCTCCCAGCCAGGGCCGCCGAGCCCGCTCCCCTTCCAGGGACGGGACGACGCGGGCCCTGTCTGCAGCCCTCTGCGGCATCCTCTCTCCTCCCGGGCAGGCCCGCCTGCACAGTTCTGGGACGAACCAAAGCTTCTGGGAAACGGGACCTGAAGCAGCTCTAGTTTCCAGCCCCGCTTTGGGCTTCCCGCTCACCGCGGGGCGGGGCGGGGCGGGGCGGGACCGGGAGGTGAGAGGGGCCCTGGCGGCCAGGCGGGGCGAGGCCAGAGGCGCGGGGCGGGGCCCAGTGGCGTGAGGGGCTCGGGCCGGGCGGGCGCTGACCGCCGTGTGCATGCGTTCCGCAGGCGGGGAACCCGCGCCGCCGCGCCCGGGCCGCCGGCGATGATCACCTAGGAGGCTGGCGAGGCTACACGCGGCCATGGAGCGGGAGACGGCGGCGGCCGAAGAGCCCACGGCCCCCGGGCGCCGGCGGCGGCGCCGGGAGGGCAGGACGCGCACGGTGCGCTCCAACCTGCAGCCGCCCCCGGGCGCCGAGGACCCCGCGGCCAAGGGCGCCCGGCACCTGGCCGACAACCGGGTCAAGACCACCAAGTACACGGCGCTGTCCTTCCTTCCCAAGAACTTGTTCGAGCAGTTCCACCGCCTCGCCAACGTGTACTTCGTCTTCATCGCGCTGCTCAACTTCGTGCCGGCGGTGAACGCCTTCCAGCCCGGCCTCGCGCTGGCGCCCGTGCTCTTCATCCTGGCGGTCACCGCCTTCAAGGACCTGTGGGAGGACTACAGCCGCCACCGCTCCGACCATGAGATCAATCACCTTGGCTGCCTAGTCTTCAGCAGGTGAGCCGGGCGGGGGCGCGCTCCCGGGAACTGGGCGCTGGGCGCGCGTGCTGTGAGTGGCACGGGGCGGGGGTGGCCGGGACAGCGGCCAGACTGGGGACGGTGCACCCGGCCTCGAGGGGCCGGTGGGCCGGGGAGGAGGGGGGCGGGCATTGCGCCGCCTGAGGGCCCTCCGCGCCAAGTCACGAGAGCAGGAAACTTTAGATGTGGGGGTACCCTATCCTGGATTGTCACTCAGACTTCAGTTCTTAACCAGGATGGCCACAGGGCTGGAGTCCAGCGGCCTCTGGGAGTCCTCATCCCCAGCCGCTCCGGCCTTATAAGTAAAAAGGAGGGATATCTAGTCCCAGGCTCCCTGGCCCGAACTTCCCGCCTCAGCCTTCCACCAGGCTGCTCCTTGGGCTGGCTGTTTAACAATTTTAACAACCAACACAGATATGTAAGTAAGTCTCCGTCAGGTGAAACTACCACCAAGTTCTGCTGTGTTGGGCACAGACGGAATAAAAAGGCAGGGGTGATAAACAGAAGCGTCCATCCCTTTATGTATGCTGTGAGCAGACCATCCAGCAGGCACCATCCATAGTTGACTGTTGAATTTTCTTAAAATTAACCCCAGTTTACATGCAGAAAGACTGAGTCCTGCCCATTGTTGGTACCAGACAGTGTGGTGCCACTGGGCTCCTGCTCCTTCTCTCTTCCTGCACCTCCCCGGAGTTGCAGACCCTCAAGCTGGGCCTGTACAGGGGGCCTGCTGTCCCTTCTCCCCACCCCAAGAGAGCCACTTGGCTGCAGGTCCATCTAGGAGCTGTGTCTCGTCAGCAGAGCCCAGCTCAAGGGCACAACCCTCAGGAAACTATAATAGTTGGTCCTGGCTGCCATCCGAAGCTCAGCCCATCTCTCCCTCCTGCTGGCTTTGCTTGAGTGCTGGCACAGGGGCTGACATGGGCCTCTCAGGTGGAGGACATTGGCCCCTCCAGCCTCTCTCATATGTGAAGGGCTCTAGGAAGTCCCTGTGTTCCTGCCTCATAGGATAGCTTAGATGAAGACCACGAAGGCCCCTTCCCACCTTTGAGTATCTCTGATCCTCCCAGCAACACTGGCTGTGCTTCATACTGATTTTACAAATGAGTAATCAGAGGTTCCCAGAGGGTAAGTGACTTGCCCGAGGCCACACAGCTGCTATGCAGTGGTGCTGAAATGTGACCCAGGTCTTCCTGACCCCACAGCTTTTCCAATATTCTTGTGCTAGTGCTTTTCAAGTTTCTATGAGTCACTCCAGAAGCTTGTTAGAAATAACGGCTGTCAGGCTCTCTCCCCAGTGTTTCTGACCAAACCTGTGGGATTAGGCCCAGGGGTCTGAATAGTTGACTAGCTTTTACAGCGGCTCACCCCACTCTGAGCAGTGCTGCCCTGCTTGCTCTCAGGGGTGCCTGTTGGCCAGTCAGCAAGCGTGATGTTGACGGAAAGGGCTGTGGGGTTTCCTGGCTCCTGTTCACCAGAAGCCAGTAGCCGAGAAGGTAGGGGGACACCCTTTACACAAACGTCTTCAGTGTCCCCGGTGCCAGGACCCCAGGCAGCCCTCTGTCTGCCTTCTGCACCACAGGTGCGAGTCTTTATACACATACCACTTCCTGTTATTACTGAGCCACTGGCTCCTGAGCCTTCTTTTTAGAAATGCCTGGGCCTCAGGAAACACGGTTTATTTTCAGTTGACAAAGTGCTTTCAACCCAGTCTGTCGTTTGACCCTTCTAAACAACCATCACCCCCGACATGCAGATGAGATAAGTGAGACTGAGAACCCGGAGCAGCTGTCTTGACTCCATGACCTCGAAAGGTGTCATGGGATTTCGAAACCTTCATGTCCCCTGGACCGCAAGCCGTCTGTGTTCTCCCCCCACCCTACCCAACCACATTCTCAAAGGATCAGTGCAGTCCTCCGGGGTGGATCCTCGGGGTTTAGGGTGTTTTCAGAAGTTCCCCCCACCTCCCAGCTCCCAAGTCAAATTCCTTGAATGTTTTCCTGAGGAGAGAATGCCCTTGTGCCTGGGGTGGGTCCGTGGGTGCATCAGC